ATTTATGGCCATATTTTGTTCATCATTTTGTTTTTCAAATCATATTCAAAATGGCTGACTGGTTGCAATTTTGTTGTCAAGAATGCTGTTCCACAGACATACCGTGTATATTTAAATTTTGCACAACTGAGCATTTTACTGCACATCTATGCATGTGCATTGTGGAATAAAACTTCCTATTGTATACAATGTAAAAGTAGTATCACTCTGGAAACTCACTCTAGAAAGTTATGTCAATTTTTGGAAATGTTTCACAATATCAATAATATAGAATTTTGTCACCGATGAATATTGAGATATGAATAAATTTCCATTTTTGATATCCTGATTGTGAACTTATAATAATGAGTGTGCTGAACATGATATATAATCTTTAATTCAACCCTTCTTAATGAGAGATGAAAATGTAACACACTTACACTATGTGACTTTTTTTCTTTTTTGTAGAGAAAGGGAATTAGTGCATCGAAGTGCGATGGAAACATCCAACTCACATGATCAGCAAGTCAGTGCAATGGAAACATCCAACTCGCATGATCAGCAAGTCGGTGCGATGGAAACATCCAACTTGCATGGTCAGCGAGTCATTGCGATGGAAATATCCAACTCGCATGGTCAGCAAGTCAGTGCGATAGAAACATCCAACTCGCATGGTCAGCAAGTCAGTGCGATGGAAACATCCAACTCGCTCAGTCAACGAGTCAGTGGATATAATAGTCGCGCAGCAAAGCAACGCAGCACCTACAATAACACTAGAATATCACTTCCATATCTGGACAAACCAGCTGACTATAAAACGTGAGTGTATATTTCATGCTGTCTCGTACTATATGTATTGAGTGCCTGTGATTTAAGAACCTGATATTGTATGTCAATATAACAGAGCTGACTTTCTGACTAATTTGCTTATCTGCAGAGAGAATTCAGTATTGTCTGAACAGAACAAGATGACAGTTAAGACTGAAAGGATTTCACTTCCATTTTTAGACAAATCATTAGAAAAAGACAAGTAAGTGTGCATCTGAAAATTGACAAACTACAATTTGATATAAGTTGAAAGAACTGAGTGTAATGTTATGAATGACAATGTCATTTCCTTTATAGAGATTTTACAGTAACACAGCAACTTTGTTTTGAAGATATGACTAGCACAGGTAAGATACAATTATTGTCTCAATGAAAAGTTCTTACCGTATATGTTATACCTTTGAGATTTGGTGATGCTTTGGTCGATATGTCATTTAATGATATATGCGAATTGTTGGATATGTGTCTAAGTGTTTGGCAATCATTTTAGCTTTTCAATAACCTAAAGGGCTCCCTAGCAATGACCTCAAGGGCTTCCTAAACTTTCTTATTCTATGTTGTAATAAGTACTTATTATTAATATTATAGGGATATTGAAAGAGCATCAAATTAGAAATGCAGCTTTTAAATGATTAATGCTTTGTTTGTTTTTTCAGGAATTTTCACAAATCAAGGAATGGTGCCAACTGTAACTTCATCTTTAAAAATGGAGCGGCAGCAGCAACCATCACAATCTATACCTGCAAATACAAATAAAACTCCAGTAGGTCTGTGTGTGTCAAATGATAGTGTACCTAAAAAAACAACAGTAGATTTTGTACACAATCTGTCAAGTGGACATCCAACACCTAATACACCAGGCTTCTCGTTAGTTGCTCCATCACCAACAGTTTGTACTAAAGAAGCAATGGGTGTTATCACAGCTATGTTTGCTGTTCGTGATCCTTGGTTACCAGAAGAAGATCAGCCTGAGAAAAATGTTCACTTTGAAGCCCAGTTTGCCACGACAGGTATGGATTTATACACTGCACTGCACTACACTACACTACACTACACGTCTTATAACATACTCATTCTTTAAAGCTAATCCAAGGTCAATTGTGTCAGTTTCCTTAGGATATTTATTATCATTGTAATACTGTTTCAGACACAGTAACATTACCAACTAAATTGATTATGTGCAGCTCAAGGCTGTTGTATGATTAGAAATGGTTAGAATAACCTGAAAAGTAATTGCATGTATAGCAGGAAATGTTGCTGTTTTGATGTTCAAAACAATATGGCGCTGACAGTGTGTCATTGATATTTTTTCACTTTTTGACTCCTGTGTGCGAAGCACAAAAAGGGAGTCTTTGCAGTTAGTGTGTCTGTCTGTGTGTGTCTGTTCCACTGACATCTCAAGAACCATACATTGATTTTTGATGAAACTTGGCACATAGATGCTCCAAACTAATGCGCAGATTTTACTAGTTTTGGGTAAAAATCATACAAGTACATATTAATTACCTAATTTGCATAATTAATTAATTTTCACCTTTTGATATTTCAAGTAGTAATCATCACATTTCAATGAAACTTGGTACATAGATATCATAGGACACTGCACAGACCTGATAGTTTTTAGGATAATAATTTTCAATGTTTTTGTTTTAAGAACCATCATCCAGTGGATTTCAGCATTCATCAAATTCAGTGTTTTCATCAAAAACAACAATAAATCCGCTAACCACACAACCATTTAGTGAAGTCAACAATGATATACAGTCTGGAGGATTTGTCATCTATGATGAAACTGCTATGTCAAACAAAGAAAACCAGGATAACAGGTTAGTGTGTTAATATAACTACCACCTTTGCATTGCTTTTTATTATATTAGTATTATATTACTGCCTCAAGGGCAATCAAAATTTGACAGCATGGCAGCTGTAGGTGTGTAATCTTAGATCTTGGTCATAATAATTTGTAACAATTGTCATCCAGCCTCTGTCAACAGAGCACAAGATATCAGAGGACAGGGGCTGAGCAGCATAGTATGATGAATGCCCACTGTAAGTGTCCCATCTAATTCTGTGTTTGACTGTGTTAACTGTGTTAACTGTGTTTTTTGTTTTCTCTGTGCAGACAGAGTGTGATTGAAACAAGTGGTGAACTTGGGGATCACTTATCAGGTGACCAGGTTAGTAGTTCATATTATATCTGGAGCTGAACCCTTTTCAGAAGTTCATAAATGTTGTGGTCTGTAACCTTGAAATAATTCTAAACATATTTTATTGATATGTGTATGTATAACACAACAGCTGGTCTAACTGAATTGTGGTCAACTGTCATTCATCATTTTTCTTATTCAGGAACATGAAATGATTGATGGAATGCAAGTTTTGCAAATTACTGATAAGATGAATACAACATTAGCAAATACAGGACCACAAAGTGACAATTTTCAGAGAGCAGCTCGTATGGCATCAACTCCATTTAATCCATCTGCGCTGTTTAATCCATCAGCTTGTCCCCCCTCCCCTCCATGTAGTACAATCAGAGGTCTAGACAACACTCATAACCACAGACAACTAAATCTTGGAGACAGTCTGCTACTGTCTACTGTCAGCTACAAAGACGATGCACATACAGGCCAAGAAAATGTGAAAATGAAATTAGGAGAAATATTGACAATTGAAACTGAAAATCACTCACAAAATACAGCTGCAGTTAGAATTACGAAACAATCCTCAGAAGAAAATTATGAGACTACTATAAATACAGTGCCACCCTCAACACCACTAAGGTAGGTAGGATAGTTGCAACAACACATAGGTGGGATTATAGCCTACTGATTATATTACAACAACACAGTACTTGCATTCACGCACAGCTCCTTAGCACGGGCTAAGAGGTCAAATTCTTTAGCCCGTGCTAAGAAAACGCGCGTGAACGCTTAGCACGGGCTAAGGAATGTTAAGTATGGTTAAATCTGATCCGAATTTAAGACGCGGTCTAGACCCTTAGCACGGGCTAACGAAGTCTGCGCGAACGCTTAGCCCCGGCTAAGCGCCCTCTGTGGCAACCTTTTGGTGTGAAAATTATGCACGTGTTCAAATACGTCCAACTTTCTCATTCCCAAAGTTAACAGACCTGAAGTTTTCAAGGAATGTTGCATTGTCCCATGTTCGTATAACGACTCTATTCCACCATTCATTACTCAGCGCTCGCTTCCACACTGATCGGGTCGCTGTAGTAGAGATTATAGCAGCTCCAATTGTAGACAAAATAAATTTGGTTCGCTGTCTACGACATGCACTAATAAAACTCTGTATTCTGTTACGCCGTTGTATACTGTTTCTGTGCATCGAAATAAGTTGGTCTGTCTTCTTTTGCGTTCCTGTGCACGTCACTTCAAAATTAGAATGAAACATGCCAGCAGCAGAAATTGGGATTATAGCCTACTGATTATATTACAACAACACATAGATGGGATTATAGCCTACTGATTATATAACAACAACACATAGGTGGGATTATAGCCTACTGATTATATTACAACACATAGATGGGATTATAGTATACTGATTATATTACAACAACACACAGGTGGGATTATAACCTACTGATTATATAACAACAACACACAGGTGGGATTATAGCCTACTGATTATATAACACATAGGTGGGATTATAGCCTACTGATTATATTACAACAACACACAGGTGGGATTATAACCTACTGATTATATAACAACAACACACAGGTGGGATTATAGCCTACTGATTATATAACACATAGGTGGGATTATAGCCTACTGATTATATTACAACAACACACAGGTGGGATTATAACCTACTGATTATATAACAACACACAGGTGGGATTATAGCCTACTGATTATTTTACAACACACAGGTGGGATTATAGCCTACTGATTATATAACAACAACACATAGGTGGGATTATAGCCTACTGATTATATAACACATAGATGGGATTATAGTATACTGATTATATTACAACAACACATAGGTGGGATTATAGCCTACTGATTATATAACAACACATAGGTGGGATTATAGCCTACTGATTATATAACAACAACACGTAGGTGGGATTATAGCCTACTGATTATATTACAACACGTAGGTGGGATTATAGTATACTGATTAAATTACAACAACACACAGGTGGGATTAAAGCCTACTGATTATATAACAACACACAGGTGGGATTATAGCCTACTGATTATATAACAACACACAGGTGGGATTATAGCCTACTGATTATATAACACACAGGTGGGATTATAGCGTACTGATTATATAACACACAGGTGGGATTATAGCGTACTGATTATATAACACACAGGTGGGATTATAGCGTACTGATTATATAACAACAACACATAGGTGGGATTATAGCCTACTGATTATATAACAACACATAGGTGGGATTATAGCCTACTGATTATATTACAACACATAGGTGGGATTATAGCCTACTGATTATATTACAACAACACATAGGTGGGATTATAGCCTACTGATTATATTACAACACATAGGTGGGATTATAGCCTACTGATTATACAACAACACATAGGTGGGATTATAGCCTACTGATTATACAACAACACATAGGTGGGATTATAGCCTACTGATTATATAACAACAACACACAGGTGGGATTATAGTATACTGTTTATAATACAACAACACACGTGGGATTATAGCCTACTGATTATATAACACACAGGTGGGATTATAGCCTACTGATTATATAACAACACACAGGTGGGATTATAGCCTACTGATTATATAACAACAACACACAGGTGGGATTATAGTATACTGTTTATAATACAACAACACACGTGGGATTATAGCCTACTGATTATATAACAACACATAGGTGGGATTATAGCCTACTGATTATATAACAACACATAGGTGGGATTATAGCCTACTGATTATATTACAACAACACATAGGTGGGATTATAGCCTACTGATTATATAACAACACATAGGTGGGATTATAGCCTACTGATTATATAACAACACATAGGTGGGATTATAGCCTACTGATTATATAACAACACATAGGTGGGATTATAGCCTACTGATTATATAACAACACATAGGTGGGATTATAGTATACTGATTATATTACAACAACACGCAGGTGGGATTATGGTATACTGATTATATTATAACACAGGTGGGATTATAGTATACCGATTATATTACAACACACAGGTGGGATTATAGTATACCGATTATATTACAACACACAGGTGGGATTATAGCCTACTGATTATATAACAACACACAGGTGGGATTATAGCCTACTGATTATATAACAACACCACACAGGTAGGATTATAGCCTACTGATTATATAACAACAACATACAGGTGGGATTATAGCCTACTGATTATATTCCAACACACAGGTGGGATTATAGTATACTGATTAAATTACAACAACACACAGGTGGGATTAAAGCCTACTGATTATATAACAACACTGGTGGGATTATAGCCTACTGATTATATTACAACACATAGGTGGGATTATAGCCTACTGATTATATTACAACACATAGGTGGGATTATAGCCTACTGATTATACAACAACACATAGGTGGGATTATAGCCTACTGATTATACAACAACACATAGGTGGGATTATAGCCTACTGATTATACAACAACACATAGGTGGGATTATGGCCTACTGATTATATTACAACACATAGGTGGGATTATAGCCTACTGATTATACAACAACACATAGGTGGGATTATAGCCTACTGATTATACAACAACACATAGGTGGGATTATGGCCTACTGATTATATTACAACACATAGGTGGGATTATAGCCTACTGATTATATAACAACAACAACAACACACAGGTGGGATTATAGTATACTGATTATATTACAACAACACACAGGTGGGATTATAGCTTACTGATTTATGTACCAGGTAGTTAATAGGGAAATGTTCTATTGACAACAAAATTGATAAATCAACTGCATTTTTCTATTCACAGTCCAATCTTAGAGAGAAGTTCTGAAGATTATCATTCTTCTAAATCTAGTGCTGGTAGCAGTGGAATGCTTTCACAGTTGTCTTCAAGATCCATGCCATTATGCGAGACTACCAAGTTAAAGGAGTCATCGATATGTAATCTGGATAACACATCTCAAAAGTTACAAGAAACCACTATGAAACATACTTCTCAGGCACTGGAGCATACTCGGGAAACAAACATCAGTCATTCAATGAGTGTCATGGCGCACCCACAAGAAACAAACATCAGTCGTTCAATGAGTGTCATGGAGCACCCACAAGAAATAATCAGTCGTTCAATGAGTGTCATGGAGCGTCCACAAGTTACAAAAAAGTTACAAGAAACCACTATGAAACATACTTCTCAGGCACTGGAGCATACTCAGGAAACAAACATCAGTCGTTCAATGAGTGCCATTGAGCTCCCTCAAGAGACAAACATCAGTCGTTCAATGAGGTCCATGGAGCTCCCTCAAGAGACAAACATCTGTCATTCAATGAGTGACGTGGAGCGCCCACAAAAAACAAACATCAGTCATTCAATAAGTGCCATGGAGAATATGGAAGATGAGGAATACTGTAATACACCAACTCTTGAACTAACAAGTGGTATTAATCCATTTGATAAAAACTTCATATCACATCTACTGACGACTATTTCAACACCCCTTCAAAGCTATCCTGGTTACTTTGAAATTGATTCAGATTTACCAAATCTGCAGCAGGGACTAGCAATTAACTTTGGTCAGTATTCTTAATTATTCATCTAATTAATTCTTTGTTTATTTTTGGATTCAATTGCATGACATTTGACAGACTGGTTAACACTTTTGTTTCTATTTGAGTGTCAGTAAATATAACTGCAAAAAAAAAACCCAAGAAATCATAAAATATACTTAAATATTTGCTAATGACGAGCATGGATGAGTAATTATCTTCATTGGGAATCAATTTGTAAAAATTAGTTTAATGTCATGCATATTGCCATTTTAAATTGTTTCTGCAGATTCTGACTTGTTTCAAATCAAGAAGCGTATTGGTGAGGGTGCATTTGCTAAGATATACAGAGCTGGTAAACTTGATGCTAATGATTTTTCCAACTTTGAGTGTCATGATGAGATTGTATTGAAAGTACAGAAACCTGCCTGGCCATGGGAGTTTTATATTGTGAGAGAACTCGGCAACAGATTACAAATGTTAAAAGAACCTATTGATATAGTAAGTTGCATCTCATGGTTTTAAGAAATGAAACAGTATTAAACTTTTTCTTTCTGGTCAATGTTGATAGCATGGTTGTACATATAGTCATGTGACCTTGTTCATCTAGTGAATATACATTGGAATGAGGGCTTAGGTGTTCCAAATGACAGATACCACACCTCTTTGAACTCGTTTAAAAAATTTTTCTTCAACTCTTGGCCATCTTAGGTTATGCTTAGAACATATTTTATTTTAATGACTGTGTTCAAACTGCTTTGTTGCTGCACAACTACCCAGGACTGATGAATCGGTTGGCTGTTACTCATCCAACCACTATCTGTCATCAAACTTTGTGATCAAATCTTACTCTTAAACGTCACTAAAATAGACCATTACCAATTGTAAACTTAATAAATCAGATGCTATAGCACACATATACAAATACCAGGTGTGTTTTATATTGCACTGAAAAACTGCCATGTTTAGGTTGTCACCTATTTTGGATGGTTTGCAGAAACAGTCACACCTGGAAATAACAGCCTTGTTCACTGCCCTTGTTTTTACACCCCTTTCACCCCTTAATTACACGAAGAACTGCAGTCAGATGTTGATAAGTCGTTACAATTGGTCAGGCAGTTTGTTTTGAAATTTACTTCATCTGTTCAAAATGTTGGCAACAACCCGGTAATTATCAAAGGCGTGATTGACAGGTCAACAACAACAAAATTAAAATGTAGCAAAAGTTGTTCATTTCGATAGACACCATGGCGACGCTACTAAAATTTAAAAGTTCCGTCAGTTGAGTTTCATGTCAGTATGTCAGTATCCAGGCAATGTTTTCACTATTATAGGTCGTTGCAATGGATAAGCAAGGTGTGGAAAAACCTGCTGTAATAAGAGAGAGGGTAGTTCAGCTTTATTTGGGAGCAATGTCTTATTCAATATTTAAAAAAAACTGTTTTAATACAAGACATCAGCACCTACATAAACTAAGCCAGTAACACATTCCTTGTATACAAATTTTTATCTTTTTTTAATGCTTTTTTGTTCCCTTACTTTTTGTGTAGTTGTTTTTCTTTTACTAATATCTGATTTGTAACCCTTTTCATCCCCTCCGGGGGATGTTGTGTGTTAATAAATAAATAAAATTCCGAGATCGGTCGACAGAGCGGTGTTTCGAAAAAAACAGATCACACTATTGTGACTGGTAGCATTCTTCCTGGGAAAAGTGGTGCTTGTCAAGTCGTCCACAATACATGTAGCCTGGACAAGCTTCATATACACACACTGATTTTTCGATTTCCTGCTTCCTTGTGT